TTGCAGTGCTGTATCGTGGCCCAGTGAGAAGTACCAAAGTGCAGTTGGCTCCAAAATGAAAATCCACACGTGAATCACACAGTACAGAACGGTCACTTCAGAGGAAAAATAAGGTCAAGCAAACAGCAGGATTAAGTTTTGCCTTTCTGCTCAACCTGGTTTACTGTCCTTCCAGTTCTGATAGTAAAAAATCATCTCTGCTTGGAAAGCTTGGAAATCAAACCAAACAAACTTTGAAAGAAAAAAAAGTAAAACCATATTTCATCCTGATTGAACACAGCTCTGCTTATGTTTCAGACCAATTCCTGGTGTGAAAACTTCTCCTGACCCACCCAAACGAACAGTCCTGAATTTATGGAGATTTGTTTTCAGGTTCTCTTTGCTCCTCTGATGCTGTTTTTCAGCCTCCTCTCCCCTCCTTTCTGCTGCATTAAATTACAAACACTGCAATAAAACTCATTATCACTAGAAAAGGAAATTCTTTCCATGGGAATTAGAAATCAGAAGGTCCAGGAGGGTTTGTGCCACTTACCCTGTGCGTTTGGTGATGGTCCCCAAAGTCATTGGCTGCTTGATTTGAGCCAGAGGCAACACCACAGTCAAACTTGGCAGGGGCAGCAGTCGAGGGTTCCCAGGGTTGTTGTTGGTGAAGTTGTTGTAAGTGTCTTGGCTGTTCAGTTTACCTTGATGGGACAGAGATGGAATAAATCACATTACTGGAAATTTATCTTCATTTATCGTTTCTAAAACTGGCTGAAATAAGAGGGGAAAAAAGAGCAAAAAAAGAGACAGGAAAAAAAAAAGAAAGAAAGAGTTCCTGTTGCAATAAAAATACCTACAAAATTCATCTTCAGGTAAAAAATAAACAACAATAGAAGAATAAATATATGAGGCCAAGGAAAGATTCCCTTCCATGGAAGGGAAATTTTTCCTCCTGCTGCTGCTTGCCTGACAGTTTTGCCCACCAAGAAGTTTTTGAGTTGTATTTGAAGAACAAGCTCTGGATTCCAATTCTCTATTTTAGGAAAAAAAAAAGGGAATATCAGGAATTATTTTCCTAAAGTACCACATACAGTGTTGGTAATTGGGAGCCCTGGAAAGGTCCCTTTTGCTGTCTCCATGGCTAAATACACACAGAAGAGTCATGAGCAGAACTAAGGCTGGAGGGAAACATCAAGTAACGATGAATTAAAGCTATGCCAAAATACATGTAAAAATCAAGACAGTATCAAAAAAAAGTAATAAATTTCAGATTCATTTAAAAAAAAAAGAAGAAAACAAACCTTAGGTACTGAGGAAAAAAAAGGAAAGGGAAAACATAACGGAAAAGCCCCAAGAACCCTAAATTTAGCTTGTTTCAAAGAGGTCTGTGCTGGCTCTGAGCCCAGCCTGGATATGCTTTCTTACTCCCTCTATCACTCTGTAGTCACAACCTTTCATTCTGCAGTTGGAAAAGGAAACTAACTCCAAATTTCATGGCCGGTAAAGAAAGAAATGTGAGGAAACCCAAAGAAAGAAGCGAAACAACAAAAAAAAAAAAGGGGCCAGTCTGTTTGGAGCAGAACCCAAAGCACTCTGAAGAGCAGAGCAGCCCTGAATGAAAAGGTTTAGATCATTAACTTGTTTTGCTGTGGCCTTGCCACGCCGGGAACCGCTGGCTTTGTTCGGGCTCCAAAGGAGCCACACTGGGAATGAGGTTCCTCAACAAGCTCATTCTGCACAGCCCCTGCCCAAATGCCAGGCCCAGCCACACAGTCTGCAGCCACCTCTTCACAACCAGCACAGCAAAGGCTTTCTCCCAGGAAGCTGCCTGAAAAGCCTCAATGGTACTTCAGATGGATTGAAAATAGGAAAAGGAAGGCGGAAAAATCCTAATGAATGTCTCAGCATCCTAAAGACACTCGAGGCTTCCTCTCCCTTTCTTTTAATACGATGGAGCTGGAAGCTTAGGGGGGTTATTGGTTTTTTTTCCTGCCAAGCCCCCAGACCTCTGCATCCCAGACAGGCACAATGAGAGAAAGGATGAAACCCCAAGGTGCGTTTTGTGTTGGATTTCCATATGCAAAACCTTCAGCTGAATCAATGAAATACTTGCACGCAGAGAAATTTACAGACTCCTTCCTACATGAGGATGAGCTGCTTTGCTTCCATACAAACTGAGGAATCCCAAGGATGCTCAGAGAACTGCAGGATTAAGTCATCACTTTGAAGTTTTCTATTAATTGTAGTAACGACATCCTACAAATCCTTAGGCTGATACAGAAGAAAACACAGAATAAACCAAAACAAAAATCACTAAACTATAAATAGAGAAGGAAAATGAAAAAGAAATACTGAGTGGAACCAAAATCTAAGATGATTTTGCTTTGAAAAAAAAGCATTCAGGGGGTCAAGCAATTAATTTGTAAATATATATTTGGAAGTAGAACTTAATCTGATGTATACAAACATCAGTAAAGAACTAACTAACCCTAAGCTCATTGCACAGCACTTTGCAGCAGAAACATGAGCCAGAAATTCAGCTCTGATATGACAAATGAAAGAGCTGCAAATACCAAACATATGTCCCAAGAACCATTGCCTGCCAACCTGTATTTGCTGCAGAGACATTCGGTTGCTTAACTGCACAGAAATGGAATTACAAGTGATACAAGTCAAAAAATTAAAAGCTGGAATGCTACGAAAAGGAGAGAAATTATTTCTGATGGCAAAGTTGTTCTTGAAGATCTGCCTGTAATAAAATTAAGATGGTGAGGATGATTAAGGTTAAAGAAAACCCTCAAATTTTCTAGTGTGCTGCTGTACCCACCCACAAGTGTGACAAATTCCCCCTCCATTCCTCCAGCCCTTCTAAGTAGGAAGCTGTTCCTGCAGGAAACAGGAGTTGTGTGTGCTCAGGGCTGGACCAGGCCAAAAGAGCACAAGGAATTCAGTCAAGCATCAACATTATTCCTACAGCTCAAGCAGTTCTCAGCCACTGTCAAAGCCCAGCAACAAACAAGCTAAAGTATAAATCTGCTAGAAATATCCAATCTGTTTGATAGGGCACAATCCTGAGCTCAAGTGCCCTCGTGGCATGTGACAGTGCCTCAAAGTGTAAATGCTGACTTGGTTGTACACTGACAGCTACACACAGATCACATCCTATTGACTACTTAAGGAATACTTTCCATGGTAATTAGAGAGAATTAATTGTCACCATCACGATTCCAGGGCAAACATGCTCTCTCAAGGATCACTCTGAACATTTCCAGTGGAGCATCCTGAGTGAAGAGACACTTTCCCTTGGTCATCACCCAGAACATGAGCTTAGCTTAGAGATTTTTCAGCTCAGAGTTCAAGAGCTGTGTACAGAATACATCAGAGCCAGTTTGGGCTGAGGTTTATTTTCCCATGTGCCTGCATTGCCTCTCAGCTTGGGCTCAGGACTTGTATTATTTCCACTCAAATATTTCAGACCCAAGGTCCAAATTCCTGATCATGGCTAAACCCAAGTCACCAAACTCCTACACTTAATCCTAATTCAGCCTTTCAGACTTCCGTTGGAGAAATATGAAAGGAAAAAAAGTCTGTATTCATTTAAGTTACTGGTAAATCTCATTAATTTTACTAAGGGACTTGAAAAAGCTGAGGATGTTGTGCCTATGGAGTCTGACAGAAGTTTATTTACAAGTGCAGCATCACATTGGATAAATGTTGCCTACTGAGACCTGGAAAATCCAATCCACTGTCACCTCGTCCCCCAAACCTGAGCCACATTTTTCCAGACATTTTATTCCACTGATTCTCAAAGGGATTAAGTTGAGGAGGAAAGTGAAGAAAGAAAACAACAATGGGCTTTGTTGGGAGCACCAGGGTGAATTCCCAAACCAACCATCACTACCAGACACACTTCCACCGAGGAGAGAAGGGAGGCCTGGAAGTGCCAGACAAAAGAAATCCCAGCAGAGAAAGAAAAAACAAATTAAAAGTACCATTATAAAATACAGATGCTCTAAGGAAAATAAACTTGGGAAGATTTAGTGGTTTCTGACAAAGCTGGACATCTGTGGAAAAGCCATCAGGAGCAGCTCCCAGGTATGGCCAGATGGGATCAGAGTGCTGAGGCATCACCTGTCTCCTTCCCACAGCCCTGGAAGAGACACCTCAGCTCTCCACACACCTTCACCACTGCAGGGGTCATTACCAACAGCTAAACTGTTATTTATGATCACTTTATTTATCGACCCTTTAAGATGCTCTTCAGGTCTGACCAAAGATTTAAACATTTCATCAAATCTCACATTTCTAAGTTTTCAAAGTCTATTTTTGGATGTGAAAGAAAAGTTATACCAAGGGGAAAACATTCAAGACTCGCAGGCTTCTAGGCTTGTGCGAAAAGCAATCAATCAACTCAAAGCAATTAATCCAGTGACTTGTCCTCTTCTGATCAGCTAAGAGCCTTGATGAATTCAGGCCAGATTTCAAACTGCTCCGTGCTGGAGCACAGTACTTCAGGGCACTGAGGAGAGAGCAGGAAACCAGCCTGATCTTTGCAGCTCCTAATGACATAATTACACCCCCAAACGCAGCAGGGCAGAGATCCCTGCCAGCCCCAAGACTTCCAGGGACCCTGAAAGAATCCTGCTGATGGCTCTAGTGTTCCTCTGCCCTGCAACTGAGTCCACACACAGTTAATGCAACCAAATCACTTCTTACCTGGTTTAAACTGAGGTTGAGTTCTCAGTCCCACAGATCCCATCGGTGCACAGGCAGCAGCCTCAGCCTCTCCAGCAGAGAGGGAACTCACTGACTCACAGCCAAACTTCAAAAAAACCCCATACCCTCACACCTAAGGGGTGAAAACAGCACTCCCCCACCAAACTGAAATTTAACCCTTTTCCCCGTTAAATTTCAGCATGGACATGACATGTCTCCCTGGCCAAGTGTTGTAGGATACTCTTAGGCATAGAGAAATTCCACCCTGATAGTGAGCAAAGCAACAAGAACTCGGCCCAGACATTTGGTTCTGGTAGGAAAGTAATGACCAGAAGGATTTTAGTTTCTCTATACACTTCCCATGAAAAACTAAAGTGGTATTAAGCACCTCTCAGCCTTACAATAAAATGCTTCTATGTTGATTTTTTGGTTCATTTTTCTTCCATTACTCTAACACCAAAAGCTTAGTAACACAGTGTCATCAAAACCCAAACCCCACTTGATTAGCTTTTACATCTTACAGTATTTAACAGACTCCATTTCAAAGGGTCCCACGTAGTCTACTGACATTAACACTACATATAAACATCTATAATTTGGTAAATAAAAATGCAGTAACTCCAGGCTATGCAATCATGTGGAGTTACAGGAAAATGAACCGTGTTTGGCCATTATTTCTGTTCAGTGTAACACTGAGGAGCGAAATATTCCCTAATCACATAATGCAAAGGAAATAAAATCCATGCTCACTGGCAAGCAAAAAAAAAAAAAGAAAAAGAGGCAGGAAAATCAGAAGTGTCATGGATGTGATGGTTTATTTTGCTTTGCTTTTGATTCAATACAAAAAGTTTCCCGGATGAGAATGGAAAGCTTCCCAGCTCCAGTGCCAAGACTTTCACCCTCATTTCTGACCTTTTCTCAGACATGTTCCAGTGTAATCTGTAATCTCCTAGAGTCGGAAGAGGAAGCAGCAGCGCCCTGGTGA